CACTGCCGCCGCGCCTGTCCTTCATTATTGCCCAACTCAATTCACCCGTGAGCTGCTCTGGCACGCAGAAATCTCGAGAGAATATGGAATAATTGTGTGATCAAGGTGACGTGGACACTGCCACCATCAGGCAGCGCTGCACTGCACAGACACTTGGAGCGTTTCAATAAAATATAATGCTAAATAAATACAAAATCTATTTACTACCAAAGTCTACACTATGTGTCAGTGTGCAGCAGCTAGCGTGCGGCAGCCAGCGTGTGTTGCAGATGAGCATTTGGACGGCATTTACAGGAAATTGTCGGCAATAATAGGTGAAAGAGAGTAGAGAAACATTAAGACTTTGGTAGTAAATAGATTTCGTATTTATTTAGCATTATATTTTATTGAAACGCTCCAAGTGCCTGTGTTCCGCGCGATTACTTAGTCGTAGTACGTACCTATCCTACTACGCAGTCATAGTCATAGTCTCGGTCAGAGTGGCGTTTAAACCGCCATATCGTAACTTTCGTAAATGTGGGGGCACACTCTTAAAAATTAACAGAGGTCTTCTTCAGCCTCAGGGTGTTGTCTAATAGTTTCTAGCAAGAAATATGTCATTTGTTGTCAGAAAGGCGGGACAAAACGTCCTTTAACTTGAGGGTACTCACCTTGTTTTGACTGTTTCTCACCATTTCAACGCTCGCGTCAGGGCTCGAATTAATCGACGGCACCGACGGCAATTGCCGTCGGTGCCCCTATCAATCGCCGTACTGCCCCTGAAAATCCAACCCGACCGACGGCAGTCGCCTGCCTTGCCCTTTTGTGTAATTGCCGTCGGTGCCCTTTAATCTACTGCCCTAGTTTCGTTTTTAGTCGAATCAACATAACACGTGCGCGTGCGTGCTGTAGTTGCAATGATGAGCTTAAAACCGATAGTCGCAGGAAAGAATAATAACAGCATTGGATATATATTCGCTCCTGATAGCGGCCATGTAAAATTTCTTGTTACTGTACTTCCATTAGCAGAGGGGGGTACAGGGGTCGGTGTTACGGTGTAAGCTTACATGGGGGCATATTGTTTTGTACATTAAAAGCAAGACGATGTTGATGTACTAATTTGTTATGAGTTTCCCTTTATTTTACAAAAGTGCCTTGGTGCCCTTCTCAAATTTTGAGAGTTGCCTTGGTGCCTTTTAAAATTGCCTCTGTGCCCTTCTATTTTAGAGAAAATTCAAGGCGATTTCTCACATGCCCTAAAAAAATTGCCTTTCCCTTCTCGTCGCTTAATTCGAGCCCTGGCTCGCGTATTTCACGCGATTTCACTTACAATCCGTGTGCTACAGCCCTCGCATTTTTCTTCATATTTGCGCACGTTATTTACACACTTATATTACGTATATTGTTAATACAGTGCACAATCTATTATCCAAAACCTTTGGGTAAATTGGGACCAGACACGTTTCGGAATTCGGAATTTTTCGGATTTCAGAATGGTATTGGTAGTACAGTACAGATATATATACATACCGTATATCCTGCAACTAGCCAGTACTAAAACCCAAGTTGCTTCTCACTATTACTCATAGGGGAATTTGAAGCCCTTTTTGACATTTTCACCGTCCTCAACGTTATAAAATCACAATACAATAAAAAATATCAGCGAGCAACAAAGGCACGTGTGACTGGTAGGAGCACTGAGACACAATTGACTCAACAATGGGTTGAGCGTGGGTCGCGTCTGGTCAAGCCACAAAAAAACTTCCAGTTTTCGGAGCTTTTTGGTTTTCAGAATTTTGAATAATAGATTGTGTACTCTACTTTATGAAATTAACGTATGTGTTTATGTAATAATGGAGATTAAGTCTGTTATGCAGTCAGGTCAACTGCTACACTACAACATCCTTGCAGCACAGCTACTATATTTTCTCCATGTAGTTAGATATTTTAGTGTCCACTGAGATCCATGTAGGGATTTTCCTAGTTTGCAAAGTGACCCACGTTGGGTGGTAGACATGTGGTTCATCACTATATGTAGCCAAAATTTGAAGTGGGAATTGTTCATTATGTCTGAGCCACCATACGCCAAATGATCTTGCAGTGAATTAAGTAGTATGATCACTATAAGTACAGCTCATAGGGTCTATGTCCCCCAGGGTACTGCCTGAACGTACCCTGGGTACGGTCCGGTATACCGGAACGTACCCTGGTAACTATCTAGCTGATATGGTTAGGGTTTGGGTTAGGGTTAGGGAGTAGGCGTAGGCGACTCCCTACACTCGTTAGTGGAGTAGGCGAGGTACGGTCCGGCATATTAGATAGTAGTATTTAGTACCAGGGTACGTTCCGGCAGTACCCTGGGGGACATAGACCCTCTCAGATGTACATATATTATATTTAGGTGAGAATGAGAAGATTTAAATCACTCCTGCTGTCATTTATTGTATTGCAGGCGACAGTTGTGGACAGATTTGTTGGTTTAGGATTAGTTGGTATTGCTGGATGCATCTTCCTCTACTACACATTCTGGGTCATCATTCTGGTGAGTATCTAAAACAATATAACCCTTTAATGAAAGCATCTTATTATGCCATTAACTGTTATCCTAAATTGCCTCTTACATTACCAGTATACTTGGAACGATATGAAATGTATTCGATTTTCGTAAGACAGTTGAGCAAATGAACACATGCATCCACACAAGATGGGTGTATGCACCCACCCACCCATGCATGCTCGTTTGCACTCACTCACACATGCATGCACGCATGTACACATCGTTGTATCTTTATAGATTCATGTAGCTATATTGGCCATTGCATGTATTGCTCATACTTGTGTTTTTCTCATTGCTTCTAGCCATTTGTGGATGCAGAGCATGAGATTCACCAATTTTTCCTACCTCCAGTCTATGCCGTTACTATTCCAGTCTGTGCAGGGATAGTAGTTCTTGGAATTCTGTGTAAGTATGTTTATGGTGGGTATTGAGACTATTGACCAACACTCACGTTTTCAAATAGTATTAGGGGTGGGATCGGATTCGATGATATATCAATGCATCACAACACAAATCTTGACGATACATGTATGAATACTCTGCTGAATGAAATCTATGTCATTTGGTGGTGTAGTTTCATCAAAAAACAAAAGAAACAAAACAATTTACGATTCCATAGCAGTCATTTAACTTACGAAGTGCATCATGATACTGATTTGTAAGCATTCACACGATAAGTAGAGTCCCCCAGATGAGTGTATAGTTTGCTGGGTAGTTTCTCTTGAAGGTATTTATTGCAATATGTATCGTGAAGGGTCTATTGTGATACAGATCATATTATCAGCTACCCGTATTGTTCCACCTCTAACATCTAAAGAGTACCACAACAAACTCCTGTCAGCAAACTTCTGTCAGGTACCTGTTCAATAAAAGGATGATGTCAGTGGCTCTAGGCATGTCATTTTATTGTTGATTGTTGGGTTGTGATTTCAGGTGCTTTCACTACTGTTGTGTTGCTCAAAGGAAGAGCAGAGCAGAATAAGAAGACAAATTAGGAGTTCCCTGCATATATGCTCAAGTAAATATTTAGCTGGCGTTATTCACACAGTCGGATTGTATAACACACCTCCGTGTTGTGAAACGAAGTGAAACAATAATGGCTTGCCAGGGTAATAAACTGTGGAGTCAGAGGAGCTTCAGCGATGAGTCTGCAACGAAAGTGATAGCCATTGCTCAGGACCTGGGTTTCCCTGCGCCAGAAACACGCTCCGGCAGCCCTTGTAAGCGAACAGACGACGCGACCCATCCCACAACAGAACTGCTCACAATTCTCGAGGCCCTGAGCGCGAACAGGCTGCGCCTGCGGATGCTCGCAGCCGACAACGAGAAGCGACGCGTTGACCGCGCGACCTCCGACCTCACGCGCGTCGACCTGCAGGAGCAGCGCGTCGCCGATGTGCAGGAGCTGTGCTGCCACCTGGAGGCAGCGATTGCTCGGAGCGCAGACGTCGTCGAGCGTCTGCGCTCGCCGTGCGTGGCCCCGCACGTCAACGTGCATCGCAGTGAGCAGCGCGATGTCTGTCGGCTACTGCCGCTCGTTGCCGACGTCATTGCCGACCTCGATGGCAGCGGCGGCGGCGAGCACGACGTCGTCGGCCTGCAGGCAGACGCCGGCGACATCGTTCAGGCGTTTGATGGTCTTGAACCGGACGTCGGAGCCGCGTACGCACGCATGCGCTCGTCGCTGCTGTCGGTGCTGAGGCTTAGAGACATCATCGAACAGGAGTGTAAAGGACAAGGAGCCGGGGATGAAAATTTGTAGCTGTGGGAGGGTAGCTGCAGATAATTGGGAAGTGTAGGAGCAGACAATGGGCGAAGGGTAGAGGCAGACAATAAGGAAATGGTGGATAGAGACAACTGGGGGTGGGGGGATTCTTAGCTAAAGATAAATGGCGGACGTTCAAGTGCTGATCAAGAATGTTCTATTACTCATATCTTCCTCACTACATTATTAAGGCGGATATGCATATGATTTTTGACTGTTGGGTAGAATTGTGAAACTGCACATGTGTACTACATGTACTACATGTAGTTCCTGGAGATTTTTCTGGTATACCAATTCTGCCAATTCACCAGGGGTGAGTAATGACAAATATTTGTCATTATTCACGATTCATTATTCATGACAAATATTTGTCATTAATCACCCCTGATTATTACCAAACGTAACACATGATGGGACCAGGGTGCAACCGGCATTGTTCACAGTATAAATGTTAAACTTTTCACATGTCATATTTGTGTTCCTGATGGTTTTCTAATAAAGTTCCTGTCTTGACAACAGCAAAAATGTGAATCTTTGCACAATTTTAGAATTTAGTACAAGGTTTTCTGATGTAATGTCAACTGAACAGCACCACATTCCTTTTAAAATGTTTAACATTAGTAGGCCCTACTGTCATTTTCCTTGGGTTAGGGTTAGGTCATGCATGTTGCTAAATGAGTACAGCAAAGAGTACTAGTAGTATCTGTAGTATAGTAGTATCGGGAGTATAGGGAGTACTAGTAGTATCTGTAGCGGGGCAGTCCTGTCATACCGATTTGCATTGCTCACCACCCGCTTGCCTGCCTGCCACACTTCTTTTTAATTGCTTCAGGTCTGCCTCAGGTCATTTCCTTTAGGTATGACGTCGCCGAAATGTCCGCACCACTAGCTTTCCATATACATTAGTATAGGAAAGAATCTATATCAAGGCAGTGTCGTCAGGGTGAAGTAGTGAGCTCGCAATATATGCGATGCGCGCCACGTGCCTCCATGCCACCTTCTTTTTAAATGCTTAGTATCGGCCCTATGTCATTTCCTTTCGATGTCACGTCGGTGACATATGTCTGTGCCCCTATCCATGTACATTAGTAAAGGAAGGGGCCTATAACAGGGCAGTGCCGCCAGATCGAAGTAGTGAGGTCGCGATATGCAATGTGCACCACCTGCTTTCATGCCACCCTCTTTTAGATTCTTAACGTTGGCCCCACGTTATTTCCTTTAATTGGGCGTCAGGGCGCCAACATGACCGCGCACCTACCCTTATATATTTGTATAGGAAGGGAACTATGGCGGGGCAGTGCTGCCACATCCAAATAGTGTGGTCGCGTCAAGGTCATGCAATGCGTACCATGCACGTGTCTCTCTTGCATTCTTTTTTTTAATTACCAAACATCTTTGGGTGCTCAAATACGCAATCATAAATCATTCCGCCATTCATAAATCAAAGATGGTGCAAGAACAAAAAATATCAGGTAGATACAGAAAGTAGCTGTCCAATTTTGGAAATAACACTAATTTATCGCTACATAACATCAGATAACATACAAGTTGAAAGTTTATGTTTGAGTTATGCAGGCCCTGCGAGACAAGCTCAGCAACTGGTGATTAACCCCACTTTAAATCTAAATCTGCTGCACACTTTTGACCCATTCATATTTTGGAGCAGTTTATCCACGGTGGGTTATGGGGTATCGGCCACGAATAACTGCCTCATTTGCTCTACGCATATCCAGACACAGCCTTATGTCACCTGCGCTTTCGGGACGGCTACGACTGGATTTACCCAAGGTGTGGGATCATCAACTGGTTCAATGATGTCTAGATCTAGTAATTTTTTATCTTTCCATCTACCTTATCCCTCAAATTAAATGGGGTTCGCCTCAAGGGTTGTGCTTACTGGCGGTACAGTGTGATCAATGTGGATAATTACTTCAACTGCCTAGTTTTCTATTTTCCAACACCGTCACGTGGAACACATCCGGATACAGTCGTTGGATATCACTGGCTACATCGCTTACTGCTGCAATCTCAATGCCAATTTTCAGGACTCCTAACTTGCGTCGCCGTATCTCTACCAAGCAACGGTACCCTTTCCCTTTAATTACCAGGGAACTCAGCTTCAGTGACATTTCCCCCTGCTGAATAAACACAGTCAAACCTTCCTTTACTGGCAATGGTTTATCAGAAGCCATAGGGAACAGTTTCCTCACTGTGTTACTAGCCATAGACTTGCACTTTATCTTTCCAGATTTTAATTCGCTCCCAGGTTTCTCTCATCGACGATGTTACTGTCGCACATGAATCCACCAACATTGCTAAATCACACACCAACACATGTCGTAAGGCATACTTGATTTCAACCAGACACAGTGAATGCATAATCTGAATTACAGGGTCATTAGGAACTTCACTAACTAAATTTACCACAGACTAGACTTTGTTCTACACACTTTAGCAAAATGATCTTTCCCTTTACACTTTCTACATGACTGACCATTTGCTGGACATTTCGGATTGCTCCAAATGACCAGTTAATCCGCATCTATAACAAGCCTTATCTCTAACAGTAACAGTCTTATTATCGGATTTACTCCGTGCTCTCTGTTGTTGTGGCTTCCAGTTTCCACTCCTCTCACCGACTCTGTTGACAGTTTTGCCGCTATTTGCCGTAGAAAGTGCCGCCATTTGGCCCTCCACCATCTCGCACTGGTCTGCCACTTGTATGGCACGGCCTAATGTAAATGCCTGGCCTTTTCCAGCAGCTTCCTCCTAACGTAATCCCGACGAGCACTTGCTCAGCACACTGTCTCTGATTTGATTCTCAATATCGCTGCCAAAATTACAGTCCTTCGCCGCCTTCCTCAAACGTGTGACAAAATTGTTGCACAGTCTCACCTGGTTTTCTGAGTGATCCGGTGAAATGTCTCGTCTCGCAAACGCTGAATTTACTTGGGGCACGAAATAAGTATTCAATGCCGTCACTGCTGTACATAACATAGTCTGTAACTTCTCCAGTGGCTGGTAATGTAGAAAACACGTCCTGCACAACAAGTCCGGCGGAGTGAAGTAACAACGCTCTTCGTCTCCTTTGCTTCGTAGTATTGTCCGTATCTTCATTAACGATCAGACCATTCCCATCAGCATAGTTCGAACGCTGTCAGCCATCGCGTCCAGCGTGGACCGCACGTAGCCGGATCAAAGTAGGAGTCAAACTTCGGTATCTTGTTTATCTCCATTTCAGATAATTTCCTTCACCAAAATAGTATTTTCCTCGTCGCCAGTGTTGCATCTCTCTTAGTACATCAATTAGAGAAGATATCTTTACCTCACATCACTCTTAGTCCAATAAATTAGAGGACGCAGATATGTGAAACTCATGACCACCACGTTTATTCCTCGATTCCGGAGTACCTCTCCACCCGGCAAAACGATCCATGAACAAAAGAACATTACATAACTTAGGTAATGGAATTCAGAGTAAACAAATTCATACCGTTGAATACATGTGAAGTTTAGCTGGTAAAGCATAAGGTGCAATGCAAATAGGTATTAATACTAGCCTTTTAATAATCGCTGTGGCTATATGCCCGGCAGCCGGGTACGGTCTTCGATTTCCTAAATGCCGGGCAGTTCCAACCCTAACACTCAACCCTTTGTTACTTGAGATAACGCTGAAAATTAAAACTGCCGGGCATTTTAGGAAATCGAAGACCGTGCCCCGGCAGCGGTCAGATATATGCGGGCTGGGGGCATATAGCACTCTGTTTAATAATAGGTACGGGAAACTATAGCAGATTCATGTTGGGTCGGCTGTAGTAGGGACACTATATATTTCCACGCTTTGGCTGTTATATGTGATCATGAATTCAATGATTTCTCGACAATTCAGGATTCATTATGATTTGAGACCAGTGATCATGGCAATGACTGATGTGATAAAATAGGCATGTGTACGGGCGGAAATATTCCTCTCGGCGCAAAGTATGCAGGTAACAAGTACCGGTAGTTGTTATATAGGAGGAATACAACAGTAGCCTTCACCAATTGTTAAAACTTGTTTCGTCTCTGGCAGAGGGACTTTTCTCATATTTGTATTTGGTAATATTCATAACTAGACTGCACCAATTTGCATTAGGCATGCAAAATGTGATGCGCTACCGAGCGTCTAGAAATCATGAAAGTAAGATTGGTCTTATCGTGTAATTTTGCTATTACAGTCAAGTGGCAGTAGACATGGCCGGGGCCACTGTTCAGAGTTCTCGTGTGAAACAGGATTCTGACAACACATTACACACATTACTCGACATAGTGCCCACCTCCGAAACGATCGAGACAGGCTGCATAGACATTACAATTTATAACAAAACAAGGTTGGTTCTTAAAGCACTCAGTTTTTCACTTTAAGAATTCGTGTCAAACTAACAGGTTAACAAAGTCTGATGTTCCTATAAGTAGTTAATGCACAAAATTCCAGGTTTCCCTCGCAACCTGCTATGCGCAACTCATAGTCATAGTCATGCAGGATGGGGGTCGTTGTCGTATCACTATTCAGGTACTACAAGATATGTACCGAGGGTAGTTTTAGGTTAATTGTTTAGTATTAATTACTATTATGTTTATATTTTGATATGGAGTAATGTTTAGTTAGGGTTAGGGTTAAGGTTAGGGTTAGGGTTAGTGTTAGGGTTAGGGTACACTTCTGTAGTACAAGTCTGGTACAATTTTGTGTATACATATATGTACCTCGGCTCGGGTACATATCTGTAGTACCTGATACGACAACGACCCCTTGAGCCACAGGCACTTGGAACGGCTCAATAAAAAAAAATAATGGTAAATAAACACGAAATGTACCAAACTCCAGTCTTAATGTTTCTTCTAGAGTATTTCGCCTCATAATCACCTGTAAAATGCCGTCAAATGCTCACCTTGCACACACAAGATACACACGAACGCCAGCCCGCGCTGTGCTGCGTGCACAAACACACATGAATAAAGAGTGTTGTTATTCATGTCATTCATAAGAGAGCTCTCTTATTCATGTTGTTGTTTGTGAACGCAGAAAGCGCGGGCGGGCGTGCGTGTGTGTACTTACTACTTGTGTGTTGCAGTGAGCATTTGACCGGCATTTTACAGGTGATTATAGGCGAAATACATGTAGAGAAACATTAAGACTTTGGTACATTAAATTTTCGTGTTTATTTTACCATTATTTTTTTATTGAGACGTTCCCAATAAGTGCGCTGTGGCTGCACAGGCACTTGAAGCGTTTCAACTGTAAACACATGCCGTCGCCATTGCGCGCACACTGACACAATAAATATAATAGCAGGTGAGAAAGCGCGAACTGGCAGCCGGATGTTAACGAACTTTCGCAGCCTTTACCATGGGCGAAAGTTCTTTACCATCCGTGGCGCAGTGCTAGGGAACGCGAGAATTTCGTCAGTCTTTTTGTGTGATTTCGCGTGACACAGCTCGGTTATGAAAGAGACATTATGTTTTATTAACAACGTGAACACTGTTCTTGAAGA